TTCCTGAGACTATCTACCAATCGGATGAAATATCTACTCAACTGGTAATTATACTGGTTTCATTTAATTAATTAAATTAATTAATTAAAATGTATTAATAGCATGATATATGACTAGGATAAAGCACGGTCAGATTTCCATATTAAGAAATCTTAGTTAACTAAAGAATATATAGTTATAAACATTCCATTCTGCAGGTGGAATTAAGAATAATTATATATTGATGTGATATTATCACGTGTTAGCATACCGCTGTTTTTATCCAGGTGTATTGATTTGCTCTAAATTAAGATAAGATATCTTTTAGACAAATTAAAATTAAAATCTGCTTAGATAACATGGTAGATTCTCTTATTGGATGGTTCCAGGAAATGACTAATGAACTGGTTTAAATGTTATTTTATTTAAAATTACATAAGAATAGATCTTAATTACCTAGGAGGTCTAGCCAGCATTGAAAGGGTTATTCTAACTGTTAGCCAGGGTTTTATGGCCCTTCGCTGTGAAAAGCTTCGCTTTCAGTCTGTGTGAAAGATAGTCATAAATCGTCAAAACTCTTGACAGAAAATGCTGTTTAGCCATTGAAATGTGTATACCTATTCCTTTGTATTGCATACCATTTTATACTGGATATTCATTGATTATTATCACGCATGTTACATATTATTATTATTATTAATTAATTTGTTATTATAAAATAAAATCTATTTTTAATAACATTGTGATTTTATTTATATGAAATACATCTCACTTAATACGATAAACGTTCTTTGGGATCTGAGAATTGAATTAGTGGGCAATTCTCACTGTTACTATTATTTTCCCATAAATATCCCCACAGTGTGTGTGGGGAGTGGCGCAGGAGTGTTAAATGGGCTGACAGAGTGTGAAGGGAGCTGACAGAGTGTGGAAGGGTAGCAGAGTGTGAAAAGGTGGCTGTGTGAGAGGTGGAGAGGGTGAGAGGTGGCAGAGTGTGGGAGGGAGGAGGTTATAGGTGGCTGAGTGAGGGAAGGAGGGGATGACAGGTAGCTGAGTGAGGGGGTGACAGGTGGCTGAGTGAGGGAAGGAGGGGATAACAGGGGGATGAATGAGGGGTGAGAGGGGGCTGAGTGAGGCGGTGACAGGTAGCTGAGTAAGGGAAGGAGGGGGTGACTGGTGGCTGAGTGAGGGGGTGACAAGGGGCTGAGTGGGAGGTGACAGGGTGCAGAGTGAAGGGGTGACAGGGGGCTGAGTGAGGGCGTGAGAGGGGGAAAAGTGAAGTAAGGAGGTGGTGACACGGGGTAAAGAGGAGAGGTATTAGAAATACTTTTATTTCCCTGGTGGTCCAGTGTCCTGGCCCCCTGTTTGTCCTGTGGGCTGTCATTCTCCCTGGTGGTCCGGTGGCCTTCCTATCCAGTCTGTAGCTCAGCCGGGTGTGAGCTGCAGACCACGTGATAGGAGTCTCGCGATCTCCAGAAGTCAGAGCATTGCCGTGGAAACCCGCGGCAACACTCTCATTAGCTAGGGATCGCGAGACACTTCATTCTGCAGCTCACACCTGGCAGAGCTGCAAACTGAAGGCTGGCTCTCAGGGCAGACTGGAGGGACCTGGCACCGACGGCACACAGGGCAAGCCGCCATGCTCCCTCCCGATGTCGGTACCTCTGTCATAGCCTGAGGGCCTGACAAGTCACTCTGCCCTAAGGCTAATTAGGTGGCCACGAAGCCCCAGCCAGCGCGAGGCCTTAAGCAGCCTCCTAAATCGCCTAATTAGAGAGCAGCCTCTGCAACTGCTTAATGTAACATTGAACATCTCTTTCTATTTATATGGTGTACTTCCACTGTTGTTGTCATAAGTATGATTTATCACATTAAAAATATGCTGATGTTTACCACATTGATAAAGCTTGAGAAAGTCTTGACAGAAATGTCTGCTATACTTTGATTGTGCTGATAAAACCCCACATGCACCTTGTTCTTGTGTGCTGTTTTCATTTCAGTTAAAAGCCAAATGATATAACATGAATATATCATTGATATAAAATGCTTTCCAAATGATTACATACTGTTGGAAACTATTTATCTACAGAAGTCACCATTAAAGTCTATGGGATATTTTTATAGATAAATAATTTGGTTTTTTTTCTAACAGTACTGAATATTTTGAAAAGTGTATTAAATAGAGGTCATAGGCCTTGATTTAATATTGTTGGACAAACTTTCCAAATGATTTAATATTTTGAAAATTGAATATGAACTTTTAAAAATATTTATTATGAAATATATTTTAATTTTGTAAATATATTATATATGATGTGTGTGTGTGTATATATATATATATATATATTTTTTTTTTTTTGTTTGTTTTATATTTTCATTTGTAGAAACTTTTTTTTTAAAAGTTTATCCAAATATATTAAATTGAGACCTATTCTATGGGAATTTGTATAGATAAATAATTTAAAAGGTTTTCTAACAGTATCGAATCATTTGGAAAGCGTATTAAATCGAGGCCTTAGTTTCTTCAAAAGGAGTAAAGTGAAACTATTGTTTGTTGGTTGCTGTTCAATCCTGATTAATATAAATCATGCACAATTTATTAGGGTTATAAATAAGTAGAGATCATTTCTATGCCCTCTTGCATTACTATCTTAAAATACAGGATTCTTAGAACTACTGTTGGTGCTACACTAGCAATACCTGAACAATATTTGGGTTTCCTATTCACAGGTTTTATAAGGAATTAATCAACATGCTTAGGATTGCAAATGACTTAAAATATTAGCAGAATTTGCACATAAATAAACAGTATAAGCAAGAAAATGATTTTTTTTTTAAACGAAATGTACTAGGTTTATTAGGCAAACTTGCAGTATTTGAAAGCAGAGAAAATATACATACAGATCAAGTTTAATAAACTTTTTGGCATAAAGCCTTCAAAGTGGTGATACTATCAGATATGCTAAACTAGCTCTGTGTTCATCAAAAGGAAACTGACTAACCATCGTCACTCTTTATTAACAGTGAGATTAGAAACACATTATCAATTAGTCAATTTTGAGGCTTAAAAGCAGTCGCAGTAGCAACAGGGCTGGAAACAACTGCTAAGTTCTTCATGCAGAGAATAATGAGACCTGTTAGCAACTGGCAATATAGTAGAAGCTGCTGTAACTTCCTATCACTAGTTATCAAAACTGGCAAATGTTAAACGGCCATTATTGGCTAAAAGAAGCAACAGGTCCATTAGAAACTAGTGGATGGCTGGTAAAAACTGGCGACTAGTTTGAAGATAACCAGCTCTAGGCCAGGCATAGGATTTCTGGAGTAAATGTATCCAATTTACAATTTCTTTTAGTCTGTCTAATAAATTCAATTCCCTGTCACTATTTCTGTGTTTCTCTATGGGAGTTTTCTAATTTCCATGGAGAGTTTTCTATGCCAATGTAACTTATTAGATACAAATACGGTACTAGTAAATGCTATTTTGCCGTACATTTTACCAGTGCTAAAACGTTTTAATGGTAGCCTCTCGTAAATTAAGGGATTAGTCTTTATGTGGGTATAACACCACTTCAGCAAATACAGTTGTCGGGCTGCTGTATACGAGGCAATGGAATTGATTAGATCACAATCTGAGATTATTTTTTCAGATCGTTAGATGCTTCAAAGGGGTTTTGGAGAGGGGAATATACGGTTTGCTTTTAATTTTATTTTGCAATTCAGTCCAAATGAAATGTACTTCATGTAGAGAATGGCGTGACAGAGGTTACTAGAAAAAGTGTATTTGTGAAAGGTACATCCTAATTTCATCTCAATTTTACATTTTATTAAACCTGTTCCAATAGCTTTGAGAAAATAAGTCACATTGATTTATAAATGAAAAACACATAGTTCAGTCAATACATGTGAGCAAACAGATGGAAGCAGGTAGGAGGTACACTATTGTCTAGTGTGGAATTTTGACGAGACTACTGATAAAATGCTGACTTTCTGTAGGTGAAAACAATATTAAAAAATATATCTACCAGATATTTGAAACAAATTAAGATATATAAAAACACGAGCCATTTGTATGAAAACTCATACTCAAGAACTTGTCTGTGTAACCAACGCCATTTACGTGAGTACCAAAACTATTTTATGTTGTGTTTAAAATAAGCAAAACTGTATTGTCCTGAAATATCCCTACAGAAACCATTATTCTGTCAAGTTGCTAAAGCCATTCACAAAAGATTAGCCCAATGTACCGCAATCTCCATTATCCTCTCATTCTTCCTGAATATCTTCCATCAATTATACAACTAATTGGTTTTCAGTGCCTGGAACAAAGGCCACTTTCATACTTATCATAGAACTTTACATGAATTCTCTGACAGCATGACCCATCTTACTAAAGCAAAGAAAGGAAAATTCTGCAAATACATTAAATACCCTTCAGGAATACCCACTACTAATTATGTATTGAGGCAGTTTCATCTGTTAAAGATGGACAGCATAGTAGGAAATCGAATAATGAATCTTCAACATTTTTTCTGGCTTTCGTTTGTTATTTCAGTTACTTTTGTCATTTTAAGGTTTGGTAAAGAAATGTAACTACTGACTTATCTTGCTTAGATATTCAACAAGCGCTATGGGGTTTATTAACTAAACTATGAAATGTGGTCAAAGAAGAAGTAAATTCGCAGAATTTAGGGTTTTATCAGCACTTTCAGCTGTATTATTTGTGTCTGAGTTTTGGTATCTCATAGATTATTAAAATAACACGTGTAGGTATAAAGTGTGTGAATTTTCATTTATACTTAAGGTTTGTTTTCATGACAGGAAATATATATATATATATACAGTGTGTGTGTGTGTGTTTCTGCTTGTCACAGAACGTAGCATTGCATATTTGAAATTAAACATACAATGTTTCATCAGAGGGCATGCAGTTTTATTTGCATCCTTGCTGTTCTTCTGTTCTCTATAAAGAAATCCTGTGCAGTAACTGCTCTAGAGCAGTGTTCCCCAACCCAGCTCTCATGACCCACCAACAATCCAGTATTTATGTATCTCCCTGTTTTATTTCAATGGAGATACTGACAAAACCTGGACTGTTGGTGGGCCATGAGGACGGGGAACACTGCTCTAGAGAATAAATGTTTGCTGCAGAAAATAATTCTGCTAAATAATGGCTTATGGTATAAAGGTGCTATTTTGTCAATTGTATAGGTAAAGTTAGACAGAGGTTCACGTAGAGAACCTTTTATTAGTGATTATACCAAATTTCTGCTACCACAGTCTCTTGAGATTTTTAACCACAGACATAGATGTTTAGTATTAAAGAAACTTGAGAGTGGAAATAAATATATGTATTGTTGAACTTACAAAGTAATAATGGGTAACAATAGGTTTGGTTAGGTAAGCAATATACAAGTAATTTTTGATTTAGGAAAAAAGTGTCAGTTACAGAAATTTACAAATGACATTACAAAATAACACAAATAAGAAGTTTTCAATAGAAAGGAAAAAGAAAATCATGTAGAAAAAATAAAAAAGTTAAAAGGGCACAGCCAATGCTCAAGGTTAAAAAATGCATCTGACTGGCCACCATGGAGAAAATATTCAAAATGTGTTGAATGTTATGAAATTAGGTGACCCCAAGCATTAATAACTGTACAGTAAAGTAAGGAACTATGCACTCAGGTTACATTGTAATCTAGGTTGGAAAAAGACCGAAGTCCATCAAGTTCAACCAAGTTAAACCAATATAGTGTGTGGATTCATAGATAATAAAAATCTGTCTCTATTACACCTAATTAAAATGAACTTACAATTCAGTATGATACACAGCATATATAATAGTACAAAACATGCTGGCAGGCCAGACACCAGTCAAGTTTTAGAATTTGTCAGAACCTGTGCAACATATATTTGTAAGGCTCTGTAACCACCATGGGGTTGCCTAAAAAATTCTGGTTGGGACACAATAGCAGTGGGAGATGGTTGCATTTTCCATGTGCACATTTCTCTCTCACTGCTTCCCTGAGACCTGTGATATGCTACTATCATAGAAGCAGCATTATGATGGATCACATCATCACATGGCAACTGGTATGATCACAGAGAGACTTCATTTTGGGAGCCTCCAAAAGTACTGCCTGTCATAATACTGCTCTTTAAAAGATTAGTTGGCCATGCATGTGTCTCACTGTCACCCTGTTCTCACTTGAATGTCAAAGCATGTAAAGTTCTGTATTGTCATAAATGTGCATTTATTACTGAGGTGACTAGAAGGCAAACACGAAAAATGTCATTACCTGAAATCCTGAAAACGTACATAGCCTGATCACCACTGGAGAACTTCTCACTTGGCTTCCAAATATAATTGAAATGTTAATCCATAGTAGGCAAAACATTATATAGAGTAATAGGGAGACTGCCAATGATATACCAAAATGGTATGTTCATTGGCATAGCAAATATATACCCGATAGTCAGGTCATCTTTTAAGAAAACAAAGAGCAAAAAATCCCAGATTGGTGGTTATAGTCAATAAGCTACCACCTTCCTTAGCACGATAATAATAAGACTTCTATCACTCAACTGATGGCCTGAGGAGGGACTCTCTGATACTCTTGTTAGACCACTATAAGTAATATGTTATATTGGACCATTTTTAGGTTTACACACTACCAACATGCACTATCCCACAAATAGAACCCGCTAACACAGCCAATATTCAGACCCATAATATGATACACAGCCAACATATACACATAAACACACACAATACCACAAATTACTTACTAACATATCAGATATGCTAGACTAGCTCTGTGTTCATCAAAAGGAAACCGACTAACCATCCTCACTCCTTTATTAACAGTGAGATTAACAAAGCTCATACAGATTACAGTATCATACACACAAAATAATAATAAAAAAAAAAATAGAACTGGCACACCAAGGGACTTCAAAGTCTTGTTTTGGCACAGTGCCTCTAATAGATTGCCGACACCTGTCCTAAATACATTTTGTCACACAAGGCAATCTTTCACACAGTACTGGAATAGAAAATATAGTCCTTTGTATTCAAATAGCCCCTCGTTTTACAGATAACCCAAAGCCATTCATCCTTATACTGTTAATATACTGATGTTAGCTACAGATGAGATATTAGTCTTATCTGTTTATCTTCACATTTAGGTACTTTTTTTGGTACAGGTGTAAGTTATTTGGAGACATTTTTAAACAAAGCATTTTGCTTTTTAGTTATTTATAATAAAAAAGTTCTATTTGTTAGTTATTTTTTTTCACAGGAAACCACATTTCTTTCTTTGAGACCACATGTTTTAACTTTTGATCCGCAACTAAGTTGTGTGTTTAACTGTTAACTGTTCTCAACTGCACCAGTAACACAAGAGTTATCTAATGAGATGAGACATGGGTAGTATTCCTAGGGGATGTCTATACCAAATATTGTGCTTTTTCACCATTGAGATCACAATATATTAAAGGGACACTCCAGGCACCAAGACCACTTCTGCCCATTGGAATGGACTGGGTGCCAACTCCCACCACCCTTAACCCTGCAATTGTAATTATTGCAGTTTTTATAAACTGCAATAATTACCTTGCAGGGTTAAATCCTCCTCTAGTGGCTGTCTATCAGACAGCCACTAGAGGGACTTCCGGGTTCTTAAAACCCCAAAAGTGTTTTAAACTACGCTAGACGTCCTCACACTATGCATGAGGACCTCCAGCATACCCAGAATCCCCATAGGAAAGCTTTCCTATGGGGAGGTCTAATGCGCGTGCGGCCAGGAGCATGGGTGGAGTCTGACCCAGCACCAAGGGACATCGGCGCTGGATTCAGGTAAGTCACTGAAGGGGTTAACATAAAAACATAGAAACATAGAATGTGACGGCAGATAAGAACCATTCGGCCCATCTAGTCTGCCCAATTCTTTTAAATACTTTCATTAGTCACTGGCCTTATCTTATAGTTAGGATAGCCTTATGCCTATCCCACGCATGCTTAAACTCCTTTACTGTGTTAACCGCTACCACTTCACCTGGAAGGCTATTCCATGCATCCACTACTCTCTCAGTAAAGTAATACTTCCTGATATTATTTTTAAACCTTTGCCCCTCTAATTTAAGACTATGTCCACTTGTTGTGGTAGTTTTTCTTCTTTAAAATATAGTCTCCTCCTTTACTTTGTTGATTCCCTTTATGTATTTAAATGTTTCTATCGTATCCCCCCTGTCTCGTCTTTTCTCCAAGCTATACATGTTAAGTTCCTTTAACCTTTCCTTGTCAGTTTTATCCTGCAATCCATGAACCAGTTTAGTAGCCCATCTCTGAACTCTCTCTAAAGTATCAATATCCTTCTGGAGATACGGTCTCCAGTACTGCGTACAATACTCCAAGTGAGGTCTCACCGGTGTTCTGTACAATGGCACGAGCACTTCCTTCTTTCTACTGCTAATACCTCTCCTTATACAACCAAGCATTCTGCTAGCATTTCCTGCTGCTCTATTACACTGTCTTGAGTGGGTCAGTGTAGAAACTTTCCCACCACTTGGTAAGAGTGTAGCGCTATAGGTGTAGTTCCAAAGTGCTCAAATATATAAACATACACTTACCACTCAGGGTAAAGGCAAAAGGTAACATGCAAAAAAGAAAAACAAAAGGACACAGAGTAATATTGTATGACCATACATCGAGTTTAGATTTAAATATGTACGGGTAAACTCACATTTTTTAGAGCCTTTTATTTGGATATAGGCTCTAAACACTTAAGCATCTGTGCCTTTAAGGTAGGCAACAAGACCATATTGATGCAGTTTGCTCTTTTCTCTTCCTTTCAACCAAAGATGGATCTCCAAATGAGATAAAAAAAGAAAAAAAAAAGAACTTCTGGGTGCAGATTGTTATACCCTTAGTGCACAGTGCAATATATGTACAGAAAAAAAGGTGCTCACCTTTTAGAGAGCCTTTTAATAACTGGCTCTAAGTATTGCTGATGTATGTGTCTATTATTAGGGGTGACACTACCCTTAACTGGATCCAAGAGTTCAAGGTAGAGGTAAGTATATTCAAACATAGTATTTATTAAAGATATTTCAAATAGAAATAATTTAAAATTACCAAAGTAATAGTAAAAAATATAAATAAATATAGTATATGTCGAGTCTCTTCCTCTCCTGCTGTACCAAGACGCGTTTCACCTTCAATGTCGGCTTTTTCAATTGGCATTCTGTTATCATCTCACTATCCGGTTTTTAAATGAAGTGTTTTCCCGCCTCTTCTCTCTCCATCCAATCGCTCATCGGAGAGGTGGGGATAACATCTGATCTTTGTTGCGGCTTTGTACTTCAACCAACAGTTCAAAGTACATCTAGCTACTTGAAGGACACATTGAATGTCATTCAGATCCTGAGAGAGATCCAATGGGAATCTCACTTTATCCTAGTCACTGCAGACGTAGGATCATTATACACCATTATCTCACATGAGAAAGGTATGGAGGCTGTAGATTTCTTTTTAAAACAAGCTAAAGTCTATCCAGAGGAACAAATAGAATTTATCCTGCAAGGGATTGACCTGATTCTTCGGAACAACTATTTTTGGTTTCATAATGACTTTTATTTACAGAAGTGTGGTAGCGCTATGGGGACAAGGTTCGCACCCAGCTATGCCAACCTATTTATGGCATTTTGGGAGCAGAACTTCATTTTGTTAAATGCCAGCTGGAGTGCAAACCTTGTCACTTATAAGTGGTACATTGACAATATCTTTTTTATCTGGAGAGGGACTGAAGACGAGCTGAAAGATTTCCTTTGTTTTTTGAATACTAATCAATGGGGAATAGTACTTACTACGAATTATAGCACACAACAAGTTAACTTTTTAAAATCTGACGATCTATGTAGAAGATGACCATATTAAAACCAAGACATACTTTAAAAGTGTGGGTGTTAACAACTACATACATTTGAATACCTGCCACTTGTCGCCGTGGCTAAAAAATATCCCAAGGTCACAATTCATGCGTATTCGCCGGAATTGTACAGATATTAGTAGCTTTCAAATACAGGCCCACAGGATCAAAAAACAATTT